TCATTTTTTATATTTTGTTTGTGCTTTGAAGTTTCTTTAGCGGTTAGATTTGTTTTACGGGGTAGGGTTGCTAACCCTATGCCCAACCTTCCCTCTTTACCCGGGCTTAGGACCGGCTAGTAACTAGTAAACTAGTTAACCAGGCGAGGTTTGTGTTCAAAGTGACTCGAGATAATTGGATTTCAGACCATACAGTATCGTGGTCAATTTCTTTACTCATTCCCTTAATCATAGAAACAATTTTTATACTTTAGTAGAAAAAACCTACTTACTACTAAGGTGATCAATATCCTATTATTAGCATTCACTTATTTTTATTGAAAATGCAAAAGTAATAACTACACGAACTGGTGATCAGGAAGTAACCTGTATAACTTTCAGGTCCTTAGATCTCACCATTGACCAACGTCAGTCGATCAAGTTAGATATGTGATCACTAAACTAATTTATACGACAGTACGGTCAACTGCATTTCGATGTTAGGAGTTCAGCCACAGGAGGCTCTGGACCCAGGTTTCTCGCCTGAAGTCTATGTCAGCAGCCATTACGAAACTGGTACCTTTTCGATGTTTTGAACCTGAGTAGCTCAGTGGTAAAGTGTTTGTATTCCTCACTGACCGAGACAGGTTTGAATTACCGATTGAACAAACGTTTCCCTGTGGTTTGAAATACACCTTGCTAATGAGTGGCAGTAAGCATGAAACTTAGGTCTGGGACTTCCCAAGAACTAACTTCTAGTACTTAACTTTGAAATAAACAACTGTGATGAAGACTTACTTTATGCTATTGAATCCATAAGTCTCTCGTTGTATGTACCACTAACAGTAAGGGTGATGGTAGAGTGTAATAATATCTTAAGGATCGCAACATATAGTAAACTTGTTATCGTTTATAAGGCAGAAATTCTTAACCGTAAAGAAGTGTATCTTTTCAACATCATAATCAACTTGTACATTTATATTCACAGTTTATTAAAATCTTACTAAATGCACTTAAAACACTGTTATTATGCATCTTGTAAGCGGATGAATGTGAAGTTGAGGACAGAGACTGCTTGGGATAGAATAGAAATCTTTTCAGCTAACTTCGGCACATTAGTACACTAGTCAGTGAGCACCATTTTTTGTGTGGAGGCTAATGATACTCCCTGACTACCCAAACCCTGTAGGTAAACCTGTGATCCATCAGCTGGAACTCAAGTGTCCAGACCAACAGGCCATAGCTCCATCTGCTCGAGTTGAAGAGAGGTACAGAACTGTAATCATTATGGTTATAACACTAACGAAGTTGAGAAGTGAAATTCTGCAGAACAGACTTCAAGGAATACTAAAGTTTAAAAAAATATGGACCTTAAAGCCACCAGTTACACATTAGTTCACTTTGCAATAAGTATTCGTTATTGGATCAAATTAGTGACAACTTTGACTCTCCAAATCACTTAAAATCACAAGTCACTTATCTTCACAGATTCTAGAAAGCTGTGTTCAGAAGTTACGTAGCATTTACGCCATGTGGTGATGCAAAGACCTAAAGAACATTGAATAATTATCAAATCCAAATTGAGAAACGTTAGTTCTGTTGGTACGTTGGCTACAACAATTTATTTGCAGAAGTACAAACTACACCTGATAGTTTTTTGTAAGCTCACATACACTCATGCTGCAATAGCTTTCAGACACAAAAACGGGGTCTAACAAAAATGTTTTCTGAGCATTTTCTATTCATAGCACAAAAATAAGAGTTCGGCACCACTGAGAAGAATCCTTGAAAAAAGGAACACAACTCCCATTATGATAAAACTATGACAACAGGTGGTGGGACTCAAACACCCAGCAGCGAAAGTAAATTGATTTTACTTTTACAGTTGATTTGAGCATATCAGAACTGCCAAAATCCAAAGAGACAAAGAAACATCTAAATTATGCCTCCCACAATCTAAACTTGTCTTAGAATGTAACAGTATCTGATTGCTAAATCAGTCTAAAGTAGATCGATACACTGCAGACATTTATTTTAAGTAGTATATTTGAGGTTACAGGTACATCTACAAAGAATCGACTGAAAACGTGAGATATCTCATGTATAGAGGATACGAAGCTGACATAATGAGAGGCCTTAGGATGACCACACTAGAAAGAGCACCTCATCACCCTCACCTTGCCCATCCCATTACTGTTGTTTTATTCTGCACACCACGTTATTCTTGCGGAGCTCACATCTCTCACAGTGACAAAATAGATGGAGTTTTTAAGTTTTAACTATACCATTTCTTATATTCTTCCCATTTGAGTTGCGAACAAAAGATTCACTGAATTCAATAATCAAGAGAATAATAATGTATCCACAAAACTTCGAAGACAGATAAGATCACAGAGAAACCAGAATTCTGACCATCTCGATACGAAAGCATGTCCCACTAAGGCAGTTCAGAAATACATTTCGAACTTCTTAGCAGTAAATTATGAAATTACCTGCTTACAAGAAAACTTGATCTTACCTCACATATTTAGAAATAGTTCGTTATTCAACTAACTTCCCTTCCCAGAGTTATGTTCATACCATTTTCACCACTACTCTACCCCTCAGATTTGAATCCATTTATTTCATTTGAAAATGATTGTTCTCTTTCATTCATATGGCCAAAACTATTGAAAACCGCTGACGTCATTCAGTCATTTCGCTTCTCTAGTAAAAACCTAACCTCAGGAATGTTACAATCTGTACTCATCAGTATGCGATTCTAGCAGAAAAGCATGCTGTTTTTAATCGCAGAAGGAATAAATCAGTAGTTGAGAAGAAAACTAGTTCAACTATCTCCAGTATGTAATATGATAATTAAGATTTTTAATCAGTGTTTACACATGATGATAGTTTTTAGAACCATGACAACATTTTAAGCGAAATAAGCATGTATAAAAAATGATTATTACTGTGTGTAAACATAAGAAACGGATGTATTTCTTAAACAATTATAAGTTTCACAGTACAAAAACGTTTCTTCAAAGAAGCTGGTACTTACGAAAAATTTGCTTACCGCTTCGAAGAATCAGCAGTCAATCGGTGGGTGGCAGGGTAAAGCATCACTCTATGCTCGAAGTTTTAGTAGTAAGGGAGAATTATTATCTCACATACATTAAATCTTCCTTATGTTCTAGTACACGAAACTGTATATGAAAGATCAGTTACACTGTAACTCTGACCAAAGTAACTGAATTAAATCAAATCTGCATTAAACATGAGTTCTCTGGAATCAAGGCTTACCTTCACCATATTTATCCATCTCACAGTCCGTTATGTACCCCCTAATTCTGCTTAAATTTTGCTAATAACCTAAAAATAACTTTATTATTGCTGTTTTCGCCTCCTATTGGCGCCGTTACTTTGTTGTTCCCACTGCTTCTGAAGGCTAAACTCTTATTGGTTGTTAGCGCTATTAACTTATCAGCGAATTTAGTGCTTTTCAAGGTTGTTTAAAATGTATATATTCAGCATAACCCTCAACTATTTTGACTGCTGTTGAGATAGTAAAAGCACTTTATCAACGGTCAGTCTTCGCTTTTAGTCTTTGCATGCCAGTGGTATTGTCCTTAAGGGTGGTTGACGTTCTGATTAGAGACTGGAATATATTCTTTGCGTGTTAGGTTCGTACCACTCGTATTCTGCTAGGTCGTATTACCGCTCATAGCAAAGTCAGAGTACGTCTCGTTATAAACCAATTATATATTTTAGCTGCTGGTTGTCGCTATTAAGCCTGGGACCAAAGTAACATTATCTTGCAGGAACTAATCACCAAAAAGAAGGCATAGTAGTATTCATGACCTTTGCTAATGTGCCCCCTATCATTACTTTGATCTTTAATCTTTAAACTTTAAATTTAAGCCTTTTGTACAAAGTCCCTTTTCAATAATATTTTACATATCTGTCACTTGTGGAGAGTAAGATGAACAGTTTCACTGTTTATTTAATTAAATAACTTCGTTATTCAATGTATTTTGACCCTTGACCGGAAACTGTTTCGGACTATTCTACCTCTTTATTATTTATTGACAAATGCATAGCTTAGTAAGTGATTTTGTCAATAAGAAAAAGTTTTTCTTCGCTGCAACCAACTTTTCTTATAATCAAATGGGTACCTTTTGCTGATATTTTCAGATTCGAAAACCTTGCATGTCTAAAAAGAGTTAAATCATTGCCTAAATTGCTAACTAATTTAAAAATTGGGTATGCTTACCCATATTTAGGCCGACTTGTTGTTGGTCTAATAAACCGAATAGATACCAGATAAAAGCGATAAAATTTCAGGATGAAAATGAAGAAGGAAAGTGACAAAATAATAAACTTTCAATTCCTAAGTGGTGATTAACGTTCATACGGGGAGCAAAAAGGTGAATGATACAACAGCGTAGTGCAATGTGCTTAGTACTGTCTTTTGTGACTGATTTATTTAGTTATTACGGATCTACAGTGAGTCATTTAAAGTCAAGGTAGCCGCATAATACAATTTCTGATGTTGAATGTTCTAGGATGAATGCACAAAGGAGTGTGATTTTGCTCAGTACTATAATCACTTACTCATTTGCGTCGACAACTGCAGAACTTCACTTCACGACTTCCTGCTGAATTGCTTACAACGTTGAGAAGACTATTACGTTTTTTATCTCCAATTATTGATAAATTAGCTCCTGTAGTATAGGTATGAATAATGAATTACACTATTTTGAAACACTGACACCTATCAGTTCAGCGCTCATTTACATGAGGTGGTGAATTCGGTACATAGTAAGAAGTTAAACAGGACGATAACCTTACAAATAATGAGTATCGTAGTAATTCGTTATTTGTAACTGGAACGACACAACTAACTTTTCAGTAGTGAATTAAAATAGGACTCATTTGAAAGGAAGCTATCTCTTTCTCTCTCTCTCTTTCTATATATATATATATATATATATATATATATATATATATATATATATATATATATATAACTTTTGATTTACCTGTAGCTTAACACGCTCATATTGTTGTTGAAGTGAACGTATAGCACGCTTTTCATTTTCATGAGCTCTTTCTAATTCATTTTCAAGAAATTTAATGCGTTCCAAAAGAAATGATTCTTCAGTTTCATTTGAAAGCTTTGACAATGAGAAAAAAACAAAATTTTGAAAAAGAAACACGTTGATAAATATGATGTACAAGGTGAACCGATTGATTTCAGTACATGAGAGATACGTTAAAGCAGAATGAATGTTATAGTACATATAAGTAGGGCTTACTTTCCACAGAATTTATTGAATATGAACTAGGGAAACTATGATACTGGCAATTAAAAAACCAGAATAAGTTAGATGCTGCTCCTCAATATCGCCTACAATCTTTTTGTATTGAAGTCCTGTGTTTGTATACCGCCATTAAACTGAGTTCATTTTCAAATGATGGTATTATTTACGTCACCTCAGATCTAATCCCCTTTTTTGTACAGTATGCCAATTTTCCCTTTGACTTTCAAACGAAAAATATTTTTTTCCCATTCAATATTATTCTTGTTGAAACTCAAAAGTAAACACCGATGCACCTCGTCAAGGTCAAAAACGTGTATCAGCTGGATTGTATGGTAAAGTACATTACGTATCATTCAACTTGAAACACTAATAAAACACCTAATAGATGTAAAAGGATACAAGAGACTAACTATTTTATTCAAACTATGAATTTAACCAACTCACCGAAGCAGTGCTCAGACAAAACCAAAGAAAAAAACTTAAATGTGATAAGACGATGCAACGTTTTGATTTCTAAACACTTTTCGTATTCATAAGTCATACACAATCTAGTCAGAGAAACTGTTCTAAGTATGTTTCATAAAGGCTGTGTTTAAAAGTTAATACTAATATCAGCATCCCGAACTTGAAAGGTCTTTTAAATCTACGCTCATCTATTTAGTTCCAGTTAAACGAAGGTCTCTAGAACAAATCAAACTCAACAACCATGTGCATGTGCATTCACTAGGCAGTGAGCCTCACCTATTTTGTAAAGGCTAGTAATACTACATGACTGCCTAAATCTAGGGCAGAATTTGAACCCATAGCCTATAAGTTGAAAGTCATCTGCCCAAACCAATGAACCAGAGCTCCACTTGCATCAAGATATATGTGTATAAATAGAAAATAGGAACTGAAATAGGTTCACCAGTTTTGTGAGTTACGGTAAAATTAGTTTCTGTATTCTTAAAAAGAATAATCTTGAATCAATACAAAGATTTTCAAAAAAATTCAGTTTGAGAAAAAATATAAGAAAAAGATGGGAAATCAGTATTTCTGGATATATTGTTGCTTACTTATGAAGATGATCATCTCCAACCTAATGTGTGCAGGAAAACATTTAATACGTATGAGATTCTGAATTACTATGACGAAAATCCCATGAAACACGACATTTTATCAAAAGACATCTTCCTAAATGAAAAAAGTTAATGAAGGGTGGAAAAATTTCAGAAAAGAATCACTCCTATATGTCAAGCACATATATGAGAGTGCAGCATTAACACTATATGCATTCCATTAACCAACAAATCACTTCAGCATGTCCTATATAAATCAAAAATCGAGTGACCAAAGATAAAATGATTAAAGTCCCCATGAAATTTAACTGCATCTATTACGAACATCACAACTTCGCACAGTTATGTAAACTAATATCACAGTCTCCATTAATATCAACTAGCTATTACATGAAGTCTCCTGTTCTTACAAAATCTAACAGGCACGATCGTACATTCTGATAATATAGCTAAGACGTACTCGAATAATCAAACTCAGAAGCAATTAGAGAATTTTTAGAGGCCTCTGAATCACATGGTTTAGCGGTAAATCTTTATAGCAACCTGTGTGCGACATATTTTTTTTAATTCAATTGGAGCAAATTCATAAGCAGAAAGAACCAAAGAGAATTCAAGAAAACTGTTAACTCTGTTACGGAGAATATCACCAATTATTCGACTCAAAGTTATCCCAACACGCCTGGTTAAGTTTTCAGAGGCAGCCAACTAATACAAAAGCCGTGCCTATAGACCGAATCAGCACCTTAGGTTGGAGTGATCTAACCAACTAAATCAAGGCAAACTACACCACGTCACTAAAGAGATGCATTGTCCAATTATATCGATGCGACCTTAACTGGTCCAAATGAACAAAATATTCATTGACCTAGTTCATTTTATCTGTTGCATCTCAATTAGTGATAATCACTAAACAGCAAGATAAGAAAACCAACCTACGTTATTTTTTGATGTATTATGATGTTTAAGTATCCACATAGCATTTTCTACGTTTTCAGTGCAGAGCGATTTCTAATCAGTATGAGATGACCAAACAAGCAATGTAAGATTCAAGGTGACATGATTACGAATCAATCGCAGACGCTTCCACAACTTATTTTAATTTTATTGTCATAAATGTTTGTTTATTTGATGTCTTTTGATTTTTAGAAAAACGTCTAAACAATATTAAAGTTCTCCAGTTGTACCTTTATCTTTCGCATAAAAAAGCAACTTGAAGGTTGAGAACAGTTGGTTTTAAAATATGCACACTTAATACAAAGGATTTTCTAGTAGTTTTTAAGTTTGATATAATAGGTTTGCTGAAATATTCACTTAGAACTCTTTGATTTATGGTTGCTCCAAACTTTACAGTCAATTCACAATGAGGACTGTGTGAAAACCAGTCAACTTCTCATAAACTAACTGACTGAATGGTATCTAAGGTATCTCCAAACAAATTATCCAGGTAGACTTATTCATAAAACTTACTTTTCATCACAACCTATGCTGACTATAATAAAACCTGAAATTATATCTTCCGTAAAGGTATGCTGAACAGTTAAACAAACAAATAGACGAGATTTATTCAAATAAAAAATAAACACTCAAACTCAAGAAAACATATAATCAAGCTAAATTCGGTTATACGCAGTCTAATCACGTGGTCATCATGGTGGTATTGATGTTTATGCATAAACAACCCCTAATCATCTGCGTTTAGTAATTTAAGCAACAAAAGTGGGAAATAAGGTTTATTCGTTGAAAACATAAGGGATCTTTTTATTAAAGTTAACACTTAAGAGATCTGAGTAATAAATGAGTTAGTTATTCAGCAGTAGACGCTACTATGTTCATATACTAACTTCAATCTGCGTTTACTCTGCAAGTTACCAATTATTGAAAAACTGTTAACTGACCTTGAAACTCTTCTATCGTGTTAATAAAAAGCACAAAATACTCTTGAATTAGAAGTGATGAACGTTGCAAGTGAACGTTAGCGCTCACTGGTGTTTAGATAAATTCCAAATGAGAACGAAATATGAAACTCATATTTTACTATTGAGTGGTGCCAAGGTACGATTATCACTATTCAATTGTGCAGAATACTAAGGTTCGTAAAATGGAGGTCAATATAACCCCCTTTGTAAATTCCATATTAGATTTGTTTATTTGATATAAAGCGCACAGTGATACAGTATTATTTACTTGTAAATAATACTGTATCACTGTGTGCTTTATATTAAATAAACAAATCTAATATGGAATTATATTCTACCACAGTGCCCAAGTCTTACACTCCTTTGTAAATGTCAGTAAATATTTAACCCTTATAAGGACACATATTGAAACAATAAGGTTTGTCGCGAACGTAATGTCTGATTCAAATTGCATCAAAATTCATTCAGCTCCCTTGAGCATATTCGCGTGGTAGACAGTGAGCCACACCCAGCATTGGAGGGTTGATGATAACATCTGGTTGCTGAAACCTCGGTAAGTGGATCAATGTTCAGAATTATAACTGATTGGTTGAAAGTCATCTACCAAAGACCACAACTCCACTCCAATTCAAATCTTGATCTCGATTTTAAAGTGCGAATAACAAACAGTACTGTCATGATGGTTGGATCAATAGTAGTTACTGCTGTGATCTGAACGAAATTTTAACAGACTATTATTGGTATCTCAAAGGCAAGAAAATTCCATCATATTTTCTACCACATATTTATTAGATGTTGGAAATGACCACTGATTGAAGTGGCTATGCAACACCTTGAAGGTCATGAAGAGTTAAGGGACTGTCATTTAACGCAATCAAAATCAAAGGACTACAATGTCTTGAACAAGCCTATCATTCTCGATTCTTAAGTCTAAACTTAAATAAAAGGTATCTGGAACCAAAAATAGCAGAACTATTTTAGATTAACAGAATTAGGTTCTTCACTTAACGGTCTCTTTAGTAAAGAAACTACCTGGTGACTGAAAAGGATTTAGTTACACTCAAAATCTCATCAGTGGGAAGCCTCTCAATGGAATAAAGACAAGAACAGAAAGCATACTGATGAATATATCAATTAAAGCATTTAATTTAATGATCTATCATGAATTCTGTAATTATATGACAGAATAAGGTAATTGTAAAAAACTTCGCCAAGTTCACTGTTTAATATCACGCTAGTTAACAAAACCTAAGTCTTTCAAAGAGTGTGAACTGAGAGTCCCCCAACTGATCATGAAGTGGTCGTCAGTTTTGTCCAGCGATTCTTAAAGCCTTTCCGAGAAGAAAAACGATTGACAGGACTTTTGCAACAATCTTAAAAACATATTGGTTTATTCAAGTCCACAATTTAATCAGCTAGATTGCTTATCTGACTAAAACGATGGACATTTTGCTTGATGTCACCCAGCTGTTGATTCGAATTTTCCCCAATGATGCTTACAAGCTCTGGGTGATAACACTTCTGTAAAGCATAAAAAATGTGTGCCTTAAAAGGTCATTATAAAGCAGTATTGTTGCTCTCCTCATGGACATAGATATCTTAATGTGTTCCAGAATGGTTTTAAGTGAGAAATCTGAAATGAACTTTATATATCAAGCAGACACAGACACCATCATCATTTGCCTTTCAAATATTTATAAAACCTAAAACTGATAACAACACCGTTGTCTAAAATGCAGTATTTATGCGCAGTACACAATTCTTAGTGCAGAGGTATTGAGATAAACACCTCTCTAACAACCTGTTTAAATGACTAACTGAAATGACTATATTAATAATTACTAATCAATAGCGACTGAAAACCTCATAAGTGAGTTCC